AACATTAATTAAATAACGTTTTTTTTGTAAAACGTATCAAACTTTAAACGTTTATCTTTTAATTTATACACTTCATTGCACGATTTCTAACGTTTATTAAAAGTATTTTTAACGTAACTGTGTTGCTTAAAGATTTAATGTTCACACAATAAACGCTTAAATTATTAATTAAATATTATTAATTAAATATGAGAATGCGACGTGTTTCTTTAATAAAAAAAATAGCAAGATTGAAGATGTTAAAAATATTATTAATTCATAATTTTACTTGTAGAATGTATAAATTACATTTTCCGCTCTAAAAAATTCCTACATGTGTGCATATTTCACCGTTTTTTTACATTCGTATCGTACAATCCGATATTTTACCATCATCATAGAAACGAGGATGGCATTATACAGATAAAAAAAAATTGATGGATTTTTCCAATACGAACCTGTGTGATTGACAATGAGTTAAACTCATGTGACCAGGAAGCGAATATTTCAAAGAACAACAATATTTGTTTACTACACGATGAAATTTTTGAAATACAAGTATTTATACTCTGAAAATTTATGGTCATAATTTACTGATATCGATTCCCAAATGTGACGTATCTTTTTTTTAATATATATGATATGGTATGATAACAACTATATATATAACATAAAAGAAATTACATCCGTTTAATTATTTAACTGCACACTTTAGTTTAGCATTTAGTTGCCACACATCAACTCTACTCGCATATATATGGGCAACAAATAGATATATTTATCAATCCAAAATAATTCGCCCTTTTATTTGCAAACAAGTTTCGATATAAATAATAGATACGTTTCATGAACAAATAATATATCTTTAATTATACAGACTCTCAGAAGAGATCGTTGCGGTATATAAGCATACTTATTATTTTTGTCATTATGATCCTTAACGAGTGCATTGTCAACGGTTACACCTTATTCAATCATCTACATTGGTGCCGAAGGACGCATGATTACATCATTCTTCACCTGCAATCAACGAACTGACACATATTATACGACCGCAAATAAATGGATTGATCTCACCGACACCTTCGTCGTTTCTATTTTTTATCCTCTCAAAGTGAATACAGGAATAATGTAAGTTGTAAAATTGAAATAGTTACAACGCATTTCCTAGAAAAATAATTATATATACAGGCCATGTTGAAAATGTAGTAAAAACTTGTTTACTATGTACTTTTACTATAAATTACAAATTAATATATCGTACATATGCACATTCAAATAATACACACACACACACTCGTATAGGGTGTTCAAATTAAATGGTCACTTCAGGAGCGTGTAAGAAATCAATTAACTCATAATAAGAAAAGAAGTCCTTTCGAGATACCCTCAACCGAATTTAATTCAGCCAGATTTCCCTATAAAATCTTATTGCTATAGCCGTTGTCGAGTAATAAGCGGCTGCGTAAGAAACGAGTTAGCTCGAAGCCGAAAGAAAGTAGTAATAACCTGACGGTTAACGAAATCTTTCGCGGAAACAGACAACTTTATACGAAAATCTCAAATTAGAGCGCGAATCCACGCTTCGCAAATTGCAAAACGTCAACGCAGCTGTGACGACGAGAGCGCGATTCAATTCACCTGAATCGCACATTATGTAGATCTAGGGCTACCATCCGTTACGATTTCTCTGGATTTGTTCTAGCTTTTAGGGCGTTCAGGGACATCCAGGCCGATTTTTCGAAGTGATCAGGAATTTTTATGGTTTTTCATTGTACAATACTTGTATCAATAAAGTCAATAACAGCTGCGCAAGCATCGTCGTGATTGAACTCCCGTCAGCTCCGCGCCCATAGTTGCCTACCAATTAATATATTTCTTTTCATAGCTTTACTGTTTATAAAAAAAATTTGAACGTGATGACGAAATCTATATTTCTGTTTAAAATATTTCATTAATTGTAAACAATAAGATGATTTATTTATTTGCTAGAAATAAAATTTTGTTTTGCCATATTTATAAATAAGAATTTATTTCAATGAACATTATATCTCACAAATAAATTTTTAATTTACCTTTTCATCAGTGAACAACCGATTCGTACATTAAGATATATTTGCACGATTGATATACGTATAGATTTTACTACGGTACGCTTTAATTGCAAATGAAATATGAGTTGAAAAAATTGAATTTTGATCATACGCGATTAAATTACTACGTCAAATTGTAGTTGGGTCGATCGATCGTTTGTAGCTTCACACGTAGGTAAAAAGCAAACCGAATTTATTTTTATATATCCTTGAAAAAAAATTCTACAAAAAATATACGAAATACGAAATATATACTTAAATAACCAGTGATTACCACACCAACATTTCACATATATTATACGATGATTGAAACGATAAGTTTCAACTCTCTCTCTCGCAGAAGAACATTGAACAATAAATCCCGCACGAGATTACATAAATGTGCAGAAAATGAATTTGGACTGAAAACGAAAGGTTTTGTCATTTATGATCTTGATCCAGATAGATCGTGCCAGTAATCACTCGGGCAGGACTAACTGGTTTTTTACTTTTAAGACAGTTGCTGGATCGCGTTCACGGAACGTCGATGATGTGTACATTACGTGATGCGCAAAGAAGTAACATTGCTTATTACGAAGACAAACGGGCTTTGTCAAGAATCAGAATAGTATTGAAGCCGCCACGCCTTTGTCAGTTAAAACTAAAAGTATTCAAAACTTTTATATTTCTTACGTATAGATACAGTTTACATAATAAATACAGAAAAAAGTATTTTACACACAGGAGACACCTTTTTAAAAAATCTTATATTTTTGAAGATAAACATTAATCTAAAAAAGAAAAATCTAATAATTTAACTAATATGAATACAAAACCTATAACAGTCTAGCTGGATCTTAGTTGCTTATATATAATTTTCGCGTGAATTTATATACTGATATATGTCTTTCTAAACTGTGCGTCGAACAATTGTCGGTCTTGAAACACGTAACTCCAATAAACTGTCACATACTATCACGAATTAAATTGATTAATTTAACAATTATTTGATGCAATTTTGACATCTTGTATCGATGTTTAACGACGTTAAAATTTGAAAGAGTCGAACCCGGATCGATTGCTTTACGCGCAAGTGTCCTATAGCCAATTAGATCTAATAATTTATTAACAAAGAATAATATGAATTATATATTTCTTATAATTATTTAATACCTGAAAAAAAAGGATATATAATAATTAAAATCATACCTTATCTTAATATATAGCGAACATGAAAAATTTTAACGCACAAAAGTATTCGTACAGTCGAGAAATTTATCTTCTCAGATCTCAGGTGAACACGATTACTTTTACAAAGCTCTTCCATTTATATTAGAATAGAATGTATATATCGTTAATATTTATTTTTTACATCGGTTAAGGTTTTTTCTTACAAAAATCTTATAAACGCTGTTTATAAAAAATTATTTTGTACCAAAAAGATATATATATATTTTTTTGTATAAAATCACAGAAACATAACAAAATAAGATGCAAAACTTTCTGCTTATTGACTTGCTTTTAAATTCTGGAAGATTTAATTTATAAAACTGTACGATTCTTAATTTAGTAAAAATTTATTTATATATATACATGTAAAAGTTCTGTTAAAACAAGATAAGATGTGACAACAAGTTTTTCGTAATGAATACATCCTTTCTCTTCAAGATGTTCTATAACGCATAGTCCGGTTTTATTTCGCGACCAAAGGAATTCGGCGTAAATTTCCCACATTAGTTATATGTGATCTCTCTGCGAAGAAAAAATGCGAGAGCGATTTCACAAAAAGGATAATATTAATTCGGCTACGAATACACGAGGAGGGAGGAAGAGAGAAAAAGAAAGAGAGAGCGAGAGCATTTGCTTTTGTTACGCTAAGACATGACGTAACGTTTATGCGCGCAGTAACAATGATGCATAAGCAATCGACTGTTTTTCCATGTAACCTCTATGCCGTAATTTATAATTAAACTGAATAATAAAAGAATATATTATAGTAAATCTATGTTGTTAATCTCTCGGTGTGTGGATGTAGATTATACCAAACACTAAATTTTTCTGTAATATCTCATATTTGAATTCTTTTTCATTTAAATTTGTCTTATGCAAATAAATTGAATTTTAATATATCAAGTTTACTTTATTTAACGTTTCAGGTTTATTACTACAAGCATTTAATATTCACATTATATTAATAGTTAAATATTATATATATATATATATTTATATAGTATTATTTTTATTATTTATAAAAAGAATTTCCATTTTCAGTTTCAAACAGAAAGGATTTTAATATAAATACGAAATAAATTTTTACCAGATTAATAATTTTCTACTTAACATAAATAATATTCTCTTTTGAAAAAGAGGGATTAATAGAACATACAACGTTATTGCAACTAAATATTTTTTCCCAAATTGATTATCAAATCTATTATGACATTCCCACTTAATTTCACGTTCACTTGGCTATCTTCCGCTGTTTGGAAATGAGTTATACGTCCAAATTTCACGTACATAATTGCGAAGCAAACAACTCGAGAAATAATGTCTATCCACCAACGGTTGCTTCTTTCAACATAATCGGTTCTGTTAGCTGAATCAATTCACTGCATCTTTATAATGAATAACTGCAAGATTCGTGAGAGTGATTTCCGTGAGCAGCACACGCACAGAGAGAGAGAGAGAGGCAATTCTGTTGTATATCATCCCTTGCTAATCTAATTCTACTTGTAAATTTTGTAACAACTATCGATTTTTCTATCATCTCCTTGGGTTGAATCGAGGACACGACGGCCGATTTCCTTTCAGGATTTTCGCACAAGTAGGCAGGTGACGTGTACCACCGTGGTCGAGAGCACGTGGATCATACCGTGTATTTTCTCATACGGAAAAAGATTCGCGGGGGTAGGGTGTACAACCTATGGTGGTCCGACAGAGTGGTGGCACCCGAGGCCGAGAGCTTCTGTCCGGAACGGAGCCATCCCGAGGTGGGAGATGGATATAAGCCCATCGTCCGGGAATAATGCTATCAGTGACTTCGCGCTCGACGGTCTCGCATATACGGTAAACGTGGTTTGAGAGGAAACATTGTGGAAGCATCATGCTCAAGGTATACGGTAGAGAGAGAGAGAGAGAGAGAGAGAGAGAGAGAGAGAGAGAGAGAGAGAGAGAGAGAGAAGGCCTGTCGTAATACGAGTGTGGTATGACGAGAACGAGCGTGAGGGGATTCGTGTGAGAGTGTACGGTCGCGTTTTCCTGTCGGCAACATTCAAGAGAACTTCCGGCGCCGCATTTATCATCCGAGTGAATCTCCTTTATTTGTCTTTCTCTCGCTCGCTGTAGAGCGCCTAATATAACAATACCGTCGAACATTACACGAAACTGGGGCGGGGTCTTATCTATATAGACTCTACCAGAAGAGATAATTCCAAAATCGCGCTTTCTGAAAAACTAGCGAATATAGTTGGTTTAGAGATTTACCCCTTTTAAGTTCTACTTGAAGAAAAGAAATCTTTTTAATTTTTTGTTTTTCACGTCTTCTTTTGTTTTGCTTGTCACACATTATAATAAAATCACTTCTCAGTATGTATTCAGTAAGACATACTCAATGAGATCCACGTAATCTCTAATTTGTTAATTAAAAATAAATACACTTAATTTTTTTAATTAGCTTTAGGTTAGTGGAATCATCTATTTGACATTGTACTTGCTAAAGCTATTTACAATTTGTATTTCGCTCTTTTACTTCAAAAGTGATACATTTTTAAAAAATTAAGTTTTCCAAAAAAGAAAAAGATATTCTTCAACTTAAAAAAAAATTATTGACCAATCATATAATATCAATAAAATAAATATATTCTTGTAATATCAAATATTATTTTTTGTTTTTTATCCCTTAAAGACCATCCTTTTTTAAAACGGTTTCACAAAATCCTTGAAATTAAACTATTCTCTGATAAAAAAAATGATCTTTTCAAATCATCCTTTTTGAGTTGTGACAATTTTTGAAGATTTTTGTAAAGTCAAAAGTTAGTTCACTTTTTTGAAGTACGGAAAAGAACAATGTATACATGTGTGATGTGTGTATTTATTTTCTTTGAGTAATTATTTAGAAACGATCTAATTTTAAAAAACTCTTTTTGAACCTAACATTCACCCAACTATTGTTACTAATAATAGTATACACATTCCGAGTTGAGATTTTTCAACTTCCGGTCAAATGAAATTTCTCTTTCCTCCCGATCCTCCGGTATACCTCAAAATACCGGAATCAGCGTCAGCTTTCTTAGGCATAAATATTCGTGCCGAGGCGGGGGCGGGGGTGTAATAGACCTTTTATTTGCTGTATCATTTTCATCGCAATGGATGAGGAAGCAAAATCCTTAACCACTTCCGCGGCATTTCGTTGACTTACGATCTGTTAGCCTGCGCATAACAAGGTCGGCGTGAAAGTGAAAAGGGGACGACGTTCGCATCGATAAGATTTCCGATCCGAGATTTTAACGAAGCATTGACAACCTCAAGAAGCGCGTCTCACTTTTGGAAGAGGGACTTTTCCAATAAATCAATAAATCGGCCCCGATAAATTTCCATACCCAGCATCGCATCGTCTAAAAGTCCCGGTAGTGACAAGTGATTAATGAAAATCGCCTGCGTTGCATAGAATTATCGATTATCCCGCTGTTACACTCCGGCGGATGCTTTTAAATATATTGCACGAGACGCGGCGTGAGAGATGGGAGAAAATTTTAGAAGATATCAAAAAGAAGAAAAAAAGAGAGCACCTGTCAACGTCGAATTTCAAAGAAATTATCAAATCCTTGACACACAACTTCGCTTATTAACAATCTTGTTTTCCCACAAAAAGAGATTTACGATCGCGAATTGTGGTTTTCAGACGATCGCTTTCCTCTGTGCCGCGCTGGCGTGCAGCCACGCGGTGGTTCTCAGCGGTTACAATGGCGGCCATGGCCTGTCGAGTCTGTCCTACGGTGATTACAGCGATCTCGACGGATACATTGGATCCGCCGGATACAAAGTTCTGCCGACGGTCGCGGTTCCGATACACGCGGTATCCGCTGCACCGCTGCACGTGGACGCATCTCTGGATGCATCTCTGAGTGCTCACGAACTACACGGCTACAAGCATCACACTGATCAAGATCACGATTATTACGTGAGTATATCTTTTTACCGCTGGAGTATTTATGACGAAGATTGGCAGAAATAGAGGAAATATTTCACCAAAGTCGAATCGATTGTTATCAGAGATGATACTACAATACTTGTAGTACAGATATTCTTATCAATCTTCTGTTACAAACTTTTTATTAAAACAAGAGTTTGGTTTAAATTTACAATTTCTATAAATTTTTTAATATTTGTTTTACAAATTCCAGAATTTTTTCTTTTACTGGCTCTGATATTTTTTCCCCTTTCTTGTTGAGATCGTATATCGATTCCAGTGTAAAACTATCCAATGGTTTTTCTTTTAATTTCTACAAAATTTCTAAAAGTTAGTTTTTGAAATTTTATACGTTAAAACATTGAAAATGACCTAAGCGAGGTTGAAACGTCTGTTGTTTATAATTGTCACATTTTATGTTTTATATTTTAGTTCTTTGTTTTAACTTTTGTTTGCGTTTTTGTTATTAAAATTAGTTTCACATTTCATGCTTTATTTTTTAATTCTATGCTGAACTTTCGTTTTCGTGTTTGTGATATGTTTTCGAATTTATTAAAAAAATTTATTACTTGATATCTGGCTCGTAGCCCTTCTACACGTATTATTTAATGATTGAGCCATACATACTTATGTTAATTCTAAAAGTTTCACTTTGATAACAGTGGCGAGACTTAATAACATTTGCAATAAATACTATAAGCGACACATCTAATTTCGAGAGGAAAACCATCTGCTTTTCTCACGTAGCTTCAACAGTTATAACTTTATTAAAAGACATTTAATACAAATTCCCACACGTTTCCTTCAGAAAAGTGTCAAGATTCGTCAAGTCTCGCGTTTCTAGACGCTCGAGGCGTACATGTTAATTTAAATTCCTGTCTCTTTGCAAAGTATATAACGTCTGTGTGCAGACAACGGTGTATTTCTTCTGTCCTCGCTGTATCTTATTGTCAAGTCTCTTTCCGCAATGCTCATTGTCGTCGCTTTCTCGCGATGTTAATTGTCACTAAAAGCGGCGCTCCAAGTAATATCATACAGCGCGAGAACGTCGCGCTACGTCCGCGAATAATTACGGTATAACGTCGGGACTCAAAAGTGCCCAGAATTGTGCTCCACAAACTTCATTGCGGATCAAAATTGAAGAATTTAACATAAAATTAATATATTGCATATTTGTTAAATTAAATTATATTGGTAAGGTAAATATTTTAATTTACCTCCCAAGTTATTTTTTTACAAGAATTATTTCTTAATTCTTTGAAAATTTTATTTTAAACACGCTTAATACAGGAAAGAACAATTTTTACTGGATATCTAAAAATTAGCTAAATAGAGATCTGCACATAATTTCATTGAAATAATTACATAGGATGCTGAAGCATAATGAGCAGCGCTGCAAAAAACCTTGAAATTTATACTAATTATTCAATAGCTTAAGCGTTCTACGTAATTATTTCGATGGTCTAACAAATTATTTTCAGATCCGTATTCAATTAAATTTTTAAATATTTCAGCAAAATTGTTCTTCCGTGTACCTATACGGCAACCAAAATCAATACCGTTATGCATCATCTGCCAGCAACCTCCAAGTTGCACGGAAATATCGGAAAGTGTATAAAAGAAACGCGAGCCCGTTACATGTTTTATTAAACAGTTTAAGGCTCCACTTGATGCTGCAAAATATTTTCATCTTAAATGGTCAATTAATGACATTCTTTTTTCTGACTAATTAATCGAATGCTTCGAAACATTCATAACGCTAAGTGGATCGTACTTTAAAAGTTTAATATATATATATATATATATATACTGCGTATAATTCGTCGCGAACTCGCGTAACAATACTTGTGTACTTGTTACAGTCGCATCCCAAATATACCTTCAATTACGGCGTTCACGATCCTCATACCGGTGACGTGAAGACTCAACACGAGGTGCGGGACGGCGACGTAGTCCACGGTTCGTACAGCGTGAACGAGCCCGACGGAAGTGTACGCATTGTCGAATACACAGCGGACGATCACAACGGATTCAACGCTGTCGTGAAGAAAGTCGGACCAGCGATCCACCCGAAACCGGTGCCGATTGTCAAGTACGTCTCACCGGCGCACTTTAACAGCTACGACTACGAGAAGCATTATTAGCTCGCAGTCGTTGTATTGTAAATTGTAGTGTAAATAGCTGTGAATCGGACATTTTGCTAAGAAGCATCCAGTCGGTATAATCAGTCTGTTAGCGAATGTGACAGTAAAATATATTTTCATTTCTTTTTGAATTTTGTTCGAATCTCTCCAGGTGAATTCAATTGATTATTAGCCGTCAGCAATAAACAAACTGAGTTCACTTTTACGTACAAAGAGTTTTCATGTAAAACAATTAGATTCTAGGGGGATTTAGGATTATATCTTTAATATATTGCAGTAAATGTATGTTTATTGAAATCTTTCACCGAGGAATATTGATTCATTTTCTGATGCAAGAATGTTGGTATTATTCTTACTACCTACACTTCAGGCTAAAAGTTTGAAAGTGAAAAGATTGTTTAAATATACACATTTTTGGATTATTTACTTAAATATCTATAATGTGCTTTTTGTACAACACAAGAATTCTATATTTTACATCCAGTATCCGTTATTGCATTTGGAAAGTAACAGTTAAAAATCACATTGTTATAGATATTTCAATAAATAATTTCGTATTATATATGCGTATGTATACAATGTAATTTAGGAAAATGTTTTTAAACCAGTCTTATATTAAAAAAAAATTTCTTAATTCTTTATATTGCAGTTTTATTTTGAAACATGTAATTGTACTTAACAGCAGCGTAAAGAAATCAATTGCTTTTACAAATAACACAGAAGCAGTTCTTTCTATTCATTTCATCTTCTGCTTAACGATTTGCGGAACCGCACAAAGGCGTCTTGCGCATCTCTTTAAAAGGGAACCATTTAATGGAATTGAAATTGCGATATAACCGCGCATGTCTGAAGTATTGATTTATACGTATTTGCAGACCCAGTACGTTGTAATACATTTTCACTTATTCTCGAGATGCCTCTTCTGCATTCATTTTTAGGTTTTACTCTCCAAATAAATATAAAGTACCGCTAATAACGTAAAAAATGTCCACAGAGAAAATATTATGTTCATTTGAATCTGTCCGAGAAGTTTTTATGTGCATGATAATATTATATAAATCACACATCGCAAAATAAGATTTAAACCTATTATGAGAAAAACTCAATATCAAATTTACGAATGAAATAAATAAAAGAAAGAATATCTGTTTGGGAATGATATAAAAATTAGTGGCTAACAAAATAGATTTTGTTAAAAATAAGTTAAAAATAGTAGTTAAGTCTTTTGTACTCACATTATAAAATAGGTACGTTAAAAATCGTAAAAATTGATATTTATAATAATATATTTCTGTAAAAATCAGTTTATGTCGAAATAAAAGAATACAGAATCGATGATAGAAAACTGATTTTGTTAACAGTAGGAAGATAGAAACTAAGTACCCTCATTGTACAGTTAAATACATTAAAACAGTAAAATCGTAGAGAATTAATATTTAAGATAATGTATTTCTATAAAATTGATTTATTTCAAAATAAAAGTATTTGTCTATTTTATCTTACTTTATTCCACCTGACAAAATGTAAAATGGGTTGTCACGTATCCAGATAATTTCTTACCAGAACATTGACTCTCGGTTTGACAGAGTTTGCTAGAATTCAACTTTATTCACTGAAGAGGAACGTGACGATAACAAAGTAACGTATAACCTGAAGAAATTGCAATAAAACCTGATAAAATGTTTTCTGAGAAACTTTAATAAAATTTTTCTAAATTTTTATATAAAGAATGATGGCAAAAAACCTGTTTTTCGCCCATTTTTTGAACCTCAAATTTCAAACTTTTTTATACCGAATAGTATATGATATATTATATGTATATGAAAAATACATATAATAATATACATATAATGTATATTATATGTATATGAATAGTATATGAAAAATATGTATAATACTTAATTTCTAAGAAATACAGTTTTTTTTAGGAAACCTATGTCGGTATCGACGATTTGTCAACTTTTTCTTTTGTATATACTACGCATATTACATAAGAAATTTGTGGCGGAATTTTTATAAATTAAAAAGTGCAGATAAAATTTTTTTTTAAAAAGCGTATTCTTTTTTAAAAAGCTCTACACGAAACATGTATTATTGACAAACAACATATTGATCTAAATTGAATGTTTAATGTGTTATTAAAAATAATTCAGATGATGAAAATGAGTAATAATTAGATCTTAATGATTATTTAATAATATCTAATTAATCTTATTAAATAATTTTAATTAAATTTTTAGGTATTGAGAATCATAATTTTATAACCAAAATTCTGCACAAATTGCAACTATATATATATCTTTAATTGTCAGACTTTCAATTCAAAACGGCCAATGTTTCGCATTTTGTACACCGTTAATTATATAGTGTATCGCTCTTGATGAATCGCACTGCGCGCGAAATCATTTAATTTATCTGATAACAATCTCGACGCATCGGTTGGTGACTTTCTTCGCACTGTTAATAAGTTTCACATAACTACCTGTATAATTAACAGTACACGAGGAAACGGGCAACCTCGATTCGAGCAACCACAAGTTCAGTTCCGTATGGTAACGCCGTTTTGCCCGAGCTCTTGAACTTACTTACCAAGACCGTGAAATTTACGTGCACGCTTTCCAATTTTACTTTAGTTTTACGCTATGGTGGCGCAATCTAATATTTACGTTCAATTAAAACGTCCATTTTTGGTACTTATAATCACCGGAGAAATTGTTATTAGCTTTTCCTTTTATCTTTTTTAAAACGGACATGGCGAACCAATTTTGACGTGAGAAAAGTATCGCTATATTATTTTAAATTATAAATGATATCTTATCAGTTGCACGCAGCTTGCGCAATAAATGTGAAGAAAGAAAAAAACATCGTAGAATGTAAGGATCATAAAAATGGTAAGAAGAGCTGTACTTACTATGGATTCCTGATAAACTCTGTGTGCAATAATACTCGTACTCTCGAACATATCTTTTCCAGGACCGGAGGAGAAGCACATTTCTTTCTTTCCGGGACATGTATACTGGTCGGAGCAGTTATGTCCAGAGAATTCACACTTTGGCCCGCGTGTATTTGGTGAAACATCGCCAAGATTAGTCGAGGCGAAGGCTGCTACGAATTGACCCTAAATACGAAAGGAATATTATTTATGATGTCTAATTTACGGATATATATTTTACGGATATATATAAGTAGGAGATAAGCGGATAATAAGATATGGAAGACTTTTTGAGAGAAGTTGCAGTTGAAGTTAGACAGTAGGATATGGATACGATGAGTCTAGAAGTCAATATAGCCACTGTCGGTAAAGTAGGAAAGGACGAAAAAGACATGATAAATATAGGTGATTAGGAAAAACGGAAACAATAGGAAATACAGATTAAGTTTTATGAATATAGATTTTTGTTACAGATTTAAAAGAGGAAGAAAAGCCGCAAGGAACTTAGTATAAGAATTGAAAGGGATAGAATTGTGAGACAAGATAAATGAGTCAGGAGTATATAGGAAGAAAAATCTGTGCGAATAGTTAGATTTAAAATTTTTTTGGCTCACAAATTACTCGTGGGGGTGTCGCCTTTCAGGACACGTAATGTTCGATTCAAAATTTTTTTATATTTTAATAGTTTATGCATCCCCCCGAAAAATGGACTTTGGTGGCTCGGGATAAGAGACTCGTAGTGTCTATTATTAATCTTTTAAACTAACTCTTTCAAATTAACTAGTAGTAGTTTTTTGAACATGGCTAGAGACACTACCGCGTCTTCTAATGTATATTTATTAATGGACTTACTTTACCAATCGTGGCGTTATTATTCATCGTTTTCTCAAAGAGTATCGAAGCATAGCCCACGTTATCGCTGGAAACCAAGCGGTTGGTGTTGTTCATGCTAGTTGGATGCACGGCGAACCAATTTATGACGCCTAAAGGCTTATCATCAGCACCAATGAATTGCATTTGTGTTAGTGTCTTGTCTACGTCATACTCGTATCTGGAAATTAAAAAAAATGTATACATATAATTTTGTGCGAACGCATGTTACTTGCTTCCACGAAAAGATGTCAACGATAAATATATACTGTTGTTATCAAATTTTGTATTTCAATGTACTGTAAAATCGATTTGAGTGACAAGGTAGACACATATTTCATTAATTTCCAAGAACACGCTTATTTAAGCTCGCAAACACATGACATGTGTCGTATATCATGTTTTATACGCAATATACACGATTGCTGTGTACCTACATATTCGGAAAATTAATAACCTTGGCATCAAATATTCAGTTCCGAGTGCATTTTATAATCCCCTTACTAAGCAATTGCAACAGGAATTAATTAATTGCGTTGTTTGAGAACATTGCATTTATGTATAATAGTTATCATATAGAGTGTCTCATTTTATCCCTTTAAACAAATATCTTGAAAAATACCGTAAAATATGAAAAAATATAATAATAACAGGAAAAAGGGCTACGAGCCACAAATTCATTATTAACTAATATACGTAGTCCCCTCCCCAAAATTGCGCGCCGAACAATCGTCGGTCTTGAAACGCAACTCTAATAATCTAAACTAATATACGTAGCCCTCCCAAAATATTTTAGATAAAAGTGGAACGTCTCTTTTGAGAGAGATATAATTTGATCATATTGTTTTTCTAGATAAGCAACACACGAAGAGCATAACTGATACAGTATCTATCAGGGCGCTTCTCGCCCTGATAAAGTGAAGCCGGGAAGGGTCGCAAAACCCTTTGGCATCTCTGAAGGAAATACCCGTGAAAGCTTCAAAAGTATTAACACTTTCATATATTTCTATTAAAGCACAGATTTAAAAAATATTACTTTGATATGATTTATATTCACATAGTATCTCATATTTTGATAATTATAATTAGTAATATAGATAAGAGTAATTTAAAATAAAAAAGAATTTTATTTCATATGTGATTTGTGTATTTTTTATTTTTTTACTTTAGGCTGAGCAACAACTGCAGTCGAAGAATGTCCTTAACTTCCTCTTTTTTTTATCGCACAAGCTATAGTGTTATCACTGGCCTTCATGATTAATTACTATAATTATTAAACAACTAGATATAATTTAAAAAGTCAAAAATGCGTATCAATCTTTCTTTTCTAAAATAAAGAGCATTTTGATTTCTTTTATGTTTATATAAGTTGGTGATATCCTCGAAATGTTTGAAGGAGAATAAATATTCTACCATTAGAATTAATATTATTTGTTACTTTTATTACTTGCTTATTAAGTACTTACTTTTCTCTTTCCGACTTTGGATTATTAAGATACGCCTGTGGACTTCTATTAATGCTGGCGTCCAAAACTTTTCCGTGAATAATGAAAATCCTTCCGGGCGTTATAGCATTATGGGCACGCTGGATGCTCTGCAATGTCCAAATATTCGTCGTTATATCGGTTATTATGTTTGAATATCAAAATAATTATTTGCAGTGGTGCAGTGGTTCGTATATGATTATTTGCATCTGCTCACATTCGTTATGCCGTTGACGACAGCGTCGAACGATTCCCTGACGAAGCCAAATGTAGTCAAGTCAAAAAGCATGTCCGCCATGAAACCACCAGGGGCTGAATGCGTATGCGTGCCGCTAATCATCACGTTATTTTCCGTGTACATGTCACCAAATTGGGTCTTCAATTTTCGCAATGCCTGTGGAAAGAACTGCAATGAACCTTGCGCGATAATAGACGAATGACGTGATAGATAAACGAATGGTTTTTTTTTTTTATCATTTCAGAATTTTATTACTTGAATTTTAGTACTCGAACAGAATATATCCAGAATATACAGGGTGTTTCGCGAAATATTATAACAAAAAATTAGATTTAAAAAAACTGTAAAAAAAAAGTTATCGAAACATTAATTATTTTACATTCTGAGCAGCAGTTTTTGTGAAATATAAGGATTTGAAACTAGCCAATTGCAGAGATTTACAGTCAAACGACATGACGGTTCTTACATTATCTTACTATTAGTATAATCTTATTAGTAGAAAAAAGTTTGAAACAATAAATTAGAGTAGTTTCAAGAATAAAGAGATTTTTTTCAAAAAGAAACCGGATACCCCCCATACCAAGGATGGCATTGAAGAATAAATATAAATATACTAAATATAAGAATAAATATTGTACATTACCTCTTGTCGGATGTCGTTGCTTATCATCGCATTATCCACGCTGACGAACACGAACCTTTCCGTGCCATCGTCAATTATGAAGGCTCTGGCAAACGTTCTGAGATGGAGACCATTTCCTTTCTGTTCTATTTTTGCATATCCCATCTAAAATTGCACACACATAATGGCTAATTAAATCTATTTATTCAAAACTTTTGTTTACATTTATTATTTCGTTAGTTTTTTCTTAATTAATCGTCATGAATGTATTCGCAACCTTCCTAATAACTTTTTGAATAAACAGCTTGAAGAGATATGCTTTTTGTGATTTTGTCTCTTTAATATAACAGATTTTCCATCAAAATTAATTCTTCTTGCATTCATTACTCAAAATATTAATTTATTGTCTTATATATTTTTTTTAGAATTTTCTCTCTCAAAGCATGTAATATTAAATATATAAGCATACTAACGAAGACAATTTCTGCGGCCGGTCCTGTGCTGTCAGCTCTTCCAACGCCAATACTGTACGAAGCAAGAACAGTTGGTGATAGCAACAACAGAAGCCATAATGCAGATAAACCACGAGTTCCTAGTAGCGACTGCATCCAAGTATCCATTCAGTTTTGTAAGCCCCTTGGCTGTCTGGACTGAGAAACAAAGTATAGATAATGACTCGTAACTCGAATGATATCTCTCGGACTCGCCGTTTCACCGTTCTGGGAAAGTTTTAGTTTTTTTTCATTGACAGGACAAACAATTATCGGTTCTTTTCGAGTCTTTCCAACTACATTTATCTGTTTGTTAGATATATTAAGTTCTGTTCTTAAGTGCAATGACATGATACACGTTGCCACGTCACTGTTAAAGATAAGAATCTTCAAAAGTAAATTTTCTTAAATGTAATATATATAGATGATGCGAGGACGGCGAAAAAGACAGTGAGGAATTGTTGCTGTGTTGTATTTTGTATTTGTGTAAAACAATTCTTGCTAAAATTTTTCTGTTGAATTTATATATATATATATATATATATATAATATCTTCAAATGTTAATTTTATATCCAGGAAATGTGTATCCGAGGATCAGGCAATTGAGAGTCAGACACGTGGTTCTTTGTACGTAATTAATTATTTATTCTTTAAAAATATTGACATATATTGAACGTTTCGACACTACTTTGGAGTCATCTTCAGCATAACTAATCTCTTCAGTCCTCCGAACTTGTCAAAACATTCGGAGGAGTGAAGAGATTAGTTATGCTGAAAGTGACTCCAAAGTAGAGTAGAAACGTTCAATATTTTTCAATATTTTTAAAGAATAAATAATTAATTACGTACAAAGAACCACGTGTCTGACTCTCAGATCCTCGGATACATATTTCTTGGTTTTTAAATATCGAGAGATAAGGAAATTACACTTGGCTTTGTTAATTTAATATATTATTATAAACGTTTTATATGGCTATAATGTGACTATAATATGATTATAAATTTTGCATTAAATTAATGTAGTTTCTAAATATGAATTTTAACATGAATTTTAATGAATATACGAAATAAATATATGATATGTTTATAAATGTTAATTTTATTTTTAAGGAATATGCTTCTACATAATTTATTTTCAGATCGTGTCAAAGTTTTACTTTTTGGGTTATTTTTACATAATTTTTGCTATTTTCTAACATATTCATCTTATGTTAAACGAAAATTTGGGTATATATAGTTTGGAATTTTCCTGGTAGAACAGAAAATCGTAATAAGATTACTTTGTAAATTTCTTGGAGTGAAATCTCACTCCAAATCCAAAAGTGTAAAAATCATTCTTATTGAAAAATGTAAATATTTTCAATTTCTTTAAAGTTTAAAATTTCAATATTATTCCTCTGTCGATTTCATTGTTTTTTTTCAAATTTCTATTTATTTTACGCTTGCAAGCCATGTGCAAATAATGCAAAGTGGGAGCGAATGCAAAATAAAAAATGTTTGTTATTATATTTATCAAAATATTCATTCGAACTGAATGAAAAATATCATTTCTCGATAAATACCAGAAGAAATTCATACTCATATATATTCATGTTGATTCACTCATTTATTCTCATTTATTCACTCATTATTTTTTTCTCATTTATTTCACTCATTTATTCTCATTTATTCTCATTTATTCACTCATTTATTCTTTCCTAATTTAATATTGTATGGGTATATTAATCGAAGATTGATTTTTTTTAATGCATAACTTCAACTTGATGTCTTTACCTTATTCTGATATTCTACCTAGAATGAGATACATGTATTAAAATCAATACTAATTATTCCACAATGGAGTAATTTCATATATTAATCACGTAATTAGCGGTGATTGTTTTGAGTTTAAAACACTTTTCTCGTTGGCCACGCAACATTAAATCAATATTAAACTAAGAAAGAATTATTTGAAGAACGGTCCAAGGATAACAAACGGCGACACGAAACTATACTTTCTCTGATCTGTGGTTACGAGAGTTTTTACAAAAAATGCATATAAATAAAACTTTCACGAACTTCTCGAGTTATGTGTTTCACTTTTCAAAGATCGCTGTTGGAGACGGCCAGGAATGTAGTTTACAAAGATATAAAAAATCTGCAAGAAATGCGAAGGAGCTACGATCTGTTCTTCTATGTTAAATATATAATATAATATTTATAATACGTTGTTTATCGTTTGTTGCTTGAATGTAAACTCTCGTCAACAATCTTTCTGAGCGTTTAAACGAAACTGAGAGAATTTTGAAAAGATATTTTTCGAAGAAACATTATATATTATTATAACAATGTTAACCGGAAACGATAAGATATCTACGTACTGCGATAGCTTAAATGTCGGAAGGTATTTTACTTCAAATATTATAAATATTTAAATACACATATAATGTCAGGATAAATATAATAAATATCTAACTGCACAGTGAATGCAAAAAGGTGTCGCGAATATAAAATTTCGAGAAAATTTAATCTCTGATGTAGGAAAATGGAAAACATATGTGATTGTTTTTGTGCATTAATTTCGCTGTTTCACAGAAAGAACAGCAGTTTGTCACTTCTATCACGTTGTCAAATTATCTAATACCAGCAGAACGTGCGTATGCACGAGCAATAAACGGCTGATGGAAAGGATGTACGCAACGCATTTCCTGGATGACACATGCAAGTATTCGTGTATGCATAAAATGCTCAGTATTCCAAATGTCCTAACCACTGTGTACTAGTAAACGTGTCGAGCGAGACAGATAGGTGTCTACATAGGTACGAAACTGTTGGACTATGTTGGACGTGCACACCGCGAACTAGTAGGAGCTTCACTTAACGCATGCACCATAAATTGTATAATGCGCAATTGCACGCAGAAACACGGCACGTTTGAAACATTTTGTTATCTGTTGGAATTTTCATTGTTCTTCCGCCGATTAAACGACCATACGTTCAGAATCAACTCGCGCGCGCGTGTAAATGATAAATATTGTCTTTTGAAATCTCAATCATAAATTTTAATATAATTTCAACATTGTGAGACTGCAAAATATAAATTCTATATTCTACTATTATATTTATATCAATCGTTTACTATCGCGACATCGTATCTTGTTGAATTTCAAGGTTTTTGCGAAGAGAAAATTGAGAGACTAAACCACTTGTCATATTCCACTTACATATCACGTTTGCTTTCTATTTCGTGGTTGATTAAAATTGTACCAAAAATCACAATATTTCTTCTTTCGAAAGCATAAAACGGTGGCCATAAAATTATGAAACGAGTAGTTCTAAGTTCTAAGAAAATTATGAAATCGATTTCTTCTGGAGGTTAAAATTAAGTTTATAATATAATGACGTGAAACGTATAAATCAGCGACAAATTGTACATAAACCAAGCATTCTTCATAGCTTGAAGCTGGAAAATGATAGTTTAACAGAATTATCTGTGATTCCATTGCATCTCTTTCTGTGACAGCAAAGAACGTGGCACGATAAGAACAACTTTTTGACACGTTGGAATTTCGTTGTCTGCAGTTGCCTATTGCTTTTGGAAACTCAATTAAAAATTTGTATGCATATATAAATATATATAAGTATACATAAATATGTATAAACATCCGCAACATATATAATTATATATGAAATATGGTATATGTCGCACACATCTTTCTCTAGTAAAATTACTTTTTAGTGAAATGTGAGTAATCATAGTAATGAGGAAACATTAAAAATAAAAGAATTATTTTTGCATTATTTATTTTAGAAAGAAAACAAGTTTGGAGAGATGTAAGACAATTGCTCATATATAACACTAGTTTATAATATTAATTTAAATTTACAATACTCTTTTGTAGTTTTATCACGTTTATGTATTAATATTTCTAAATATATTTAGAAAGTAAATATACAATAGAATGTTTGTACTACAATAGAATGTTTGTATTTAACGAATCACGCGCATCAGGCATTTATGATAGGATTGTGATATATGAAAAAAACAAGTATATGTTATTATATATATATATATATCCAGAAGAAAATAAAAAAACATTTCAATGTAATTACGTACATATACATATATATTCAATTCTACATTGCAACATGCCAAAATCATTTTCAACGTATAATTAACCGGTGTGACAGTTTTATAAATTAAAATAAATATAATACTTTTTAATGTTCATACAATATTACAGTAACATTAAATAATTAAATAATACTACTTTTAATAATCATATAATATTATCAAGACAGGACACATAACCATCCTAATTAATATCTGAATAATACTATTTAATATATAATTTTAATAAAATATTTTTCAAATGTTACATTTAATATTCTGGGAAGTATGCCTGAAATATTATTTAATATTCAATAATATTATCTGCCAATAGGGTAATAATGTGTAAATTTTAAGTCACACACCTGTGAGTCACATTTACTGCAATTTTAACCACATGTATTTGCTCCAACGATAATAAACAAATATATATATATATAAATAATATATATTGGCAAACCCCGATTGTTACAAAAATTACTACACTCTCAATTTTTCGTAAACACAAAGTGTTACCATTTCCAGCCATATCGTCCAACAGCGGTACTAGAGGATAAGAAAGAATATATCACAGCTGCAGCGCATGACGAATTTAAATGGAATTCGCTTACTTGCAGCGTACTAACTAACGTTATAACTCGAGTTATTGCTACAGAGGTATATACGTGTATGTAATATGTATACAGGAGAGCCACGCACCAATTGATCAAATGTTAAATCATCGGCAAATGTTTTTGTAAGGTGCACGATCGCGATTTAATCTCGATCGCTTTGACAAAGAGATCGTCGATTTTGTCGGATCTCCGGACACAAGAAAAGCGAACACGCAGCTGATGCGGCGCCAGCTGGGACTGCGATGCAAACAGGTCACCGGTCCATCACCACGGAGAGAGACTCTGTTCACTGACAGACACCAAACCAAACCCAACGTTGGGACTTATATAGTTGGTGGTGAAAAGAAGGGGAAATGGAAACAATTCTATAGCTATTATTCTTACAGTAAGTACATATTACACATACTGATCTCCGTACAAACACACACATTTAGTTTCTTTCTCACAATTAATTCTGCATCTCTGCGCCTTTCGTTTTTCCTCTTTGTCTTGAGACTCTCTTGATATAAGATATCTTCTAATACTTCTACACATCAGTAGTTGAAACTTTACATAATAGCGGAGCAATTGTATGAAGTAAGAAGAGCTACTCACGTGTCACAGTTGGAATATTGATAGAAGTACGAGTATATTGATTCGAATTTGTAAACAACTCAGTCATTAATCAATATAGAATTTTGCTTTGAGAAAGAAAAAAATTTTTATAAAAATTGATAATTTCCGTGTGTATCGTTTTAAATTATTATTATTATTGTTGTTATTGTTGTTGTTGCTGTTGCTGCTGTTTTAATATTATTATTCGAGTATAAGTGTTTTTCAATAAAGTGTTACAGAGCGATTGAAGTTAGATTTGATTATAAACTAAATGATAAAAACTCTCGATGAAATTTAAGTACTTTAAGTTAAGTTTTTACTATATTTAATATATTTTTAAATAGGTACATAAAATGTAGGTATTTGAGTTAATATATAAACAATTAGCATAAAAGCATATGTATATAATATATTTACGATAAAATTTTATACAAAAATCTATTCATAATTTTACGTATTGTGTAATACAGAAGATGTGTAAATAATTAAAATTATAAATATTTATAACTCTATCTATATAATACTCTATTTTATTTATTAATATAAAAGACACAAATATGAGCAGGATATAAATATACTCGTGATGGTATCGTCAATTGTATCTAGTGTGAATGAAAATTGAGAATCTATAAGTGTAAGTAAATATAGACATGTTCAATCTGATAAGTAAATAAACTTTATCCGTACATAAGTTATGATATAAATTATAACTTCACCTACGTATTTGATATCATATTTCTTGTAATACAGGATATTTTTATTATCTCTATAATTATATTTATAATTTGATGCATAAAATTACGAATAGAATTCTATTTCAAATTCTGTCGTGAAATGTAGATCGTGTAAAGTGGAATTAAGACCGAGACCGTTTAAATTATGTTAAATAATATTATCACTTTCTAATAACCCCTCCCTACACAAAGTAGAAGCTTTATAGGCACTTAAAACTTTGATCCATGTTTCAACATAATTAAAAGAAAAATAATATTTAATAAGAGAAGTGAATTAATATAATTATAAATGTAATCATGTTTAATGTTTAATGTAAAGGTCAATTATTACATCTCTAGATAAGAGCTATGTGGTAATTTATCTACTGAATAAAAGTGATTAAATAAGCTAGGATTTATTGAAAAATGAAATCCTGAATGTAATAATATATAAATATATGTAATATTTGTAAAAGAACTGAATAAATAATAAAATATAAAATGTGTGTTTATAATAACGTTTAATGTAAATAATAAGATACTTTTATGTTCATTATATTAAAATTTTCTCGCGCGCACAAAATTATTATGTAAATCATGTTGTTATTGATATTATATAAAAGTCGCAAGGATATTATTACGTTGCACGAAAATTCCTGAAAAATTTTAAGACTTAAAACGACGATATTTCAAGCGACAAATATAGTTCGTATAATGGGCGATATTTTTGTCGGATGCAAAAAATACAAACAAAACGTAAGGCTTTATAAGTCCACTTAGTATGCATTTAAATATCTCTTTTGGTGAATAGTAAAGTGTAAGGAAGAAAGAAAATATAGATATTGTCGTGAAAGACCAGTTTTTAAATGCTATTTTTAAAACAAAAGCACGCATAATTGCACAGAATGTAAAGAAATAAAAAGCAGAGTACACTCAACGCTCGGGTTTTCCTTGACTCCGATATGACCGTGCAAAACAGCATTATATTTTGCTATCTTTCCCGCGTAGTTCCTCGAACAATTGAAAATATACATGCGCGAATAATTTTAAATCTGCTGAGTTGTAAGTGTAAAGTAATCAATCGAGTGTAATTACGGTACGACTTAGCACCTCTACATAAACTATCCTGCACACAATGCTAGGTGATTAGAACATGTATAACACTTTTATCTTTGGAAAATTTATTTCCATTTCGTAATTATGAAAAGAATTGTTCTATTATTAATTGCATTAAACTCTTAATAAATACTTACAAATGTCATTAGAGATGTTTTCCTATAGAATTCAGCGTAATGGATAGCAGTCATCTCAAAAAAATTTCTCTCCTGTCGACGTCTGACTTGCGAGAAACTCTCCGTTTTTAAGATCGTATTTCAAAAATAAATGAATTCTTGCGATAAATTCATATCGCAATATAATCTTCAGATTTACAAAATAACGCACATTTACACGAGGTAGATGTCGTAATATAATCTCAACTAAAATGGAAAAATTAACAACAATTTCTTAAATAAAATTACATTAAACTACAAAAAATATTGTAATATAATATAATCATTATTTACTTTAAAGTATTATAGGGAACTTAATGCACTTGACAGAATTTAGAAATATTGTGCCAATGTATTTCCACTCAATTATACGGCTTTGATTAATTTTAATTAATTGCACACTAAATTTTTTGCAGTAAATTTTTTTTAACGATGTGATCATAATTAATAAATCCTGCATTGATACACTGTTCAAGTTTTTCCGATTTCCTCGAAAGGTAATTTGTCATTCGTAGCACAGATAAATCTCAGATAGTCAAAGATTATTCCTTATTAAAGATTTATGTCATCTTGTTGATTTTTTATACAATTAAATGGCCACAAATTAAACGCAGTCACAAACGAATAAATAAAATTGTCAGAATATTCGTGTACTTTGGTGTAACGTCAGAACACGGACTGTCACTTTCATCGCTCCGTAGCGACTTGGGCACTCACAGGAGAAAGTAAAACGCAGTGGATTGCGCAATTATCGTCTCTACAATAGCTCAAATAATTCTAACGTAACCAAATGATAGTTCGATGCATCGATAGCACTCGCGGATGTGTAATCCAATTGTCTCTTGCTAATGATTACACAATCGTAATAATAAAAAGAAAATAAAACTATTTTAGTTGCTCGTATGTCATATCTATTAAAATGTAAAATCGAAATTTTCGTTTTTCTTTCCGTTTGCAATTTAACTTATTAAATTAATCAATTAACAAATTGCAGATAATTTTTGGACAACAGAAAACACTAAAGAAATTTAATGACTTTCGTAAATTGTGCAAAGCAAAAAGTCACCCTATCTTTAAATGTTTTTGAGAGACGAGAAACATTCGAAAGATATTCATTAAATTTTATAAAAACGTAATTCTGGCCGATTAATCACTTATTTTCAGAATAAAAGATATTCCATAATCCTACTGAATACAATCAATATAAATTTAAACTAATAAGTCATTTTTCTTTGAGATAGAGCTTGTCACGCTTTTACTAGACAGACTGTAAATTTCCGAGTAAAGTTTTATAAGGAAAAAGGCTCGTACAATTTATTTTCTTTAGAATAAAATATTTATTTTAATTCATTATTTTATGCAAAATATGAATTCTCAAAAATAATATTTACAGGATAACAAAAAGATTTTACTATTGATTTTAGTGTATTGATGCTTTCCCAAAATATTTTAAAACTTATATCAAAGCTAAAGAGCATTTTGAATGTTAATTATTATTTTTTGTATTTAACAAATTTTATTTAGGTTGCAGATCTGTACTATAAGGTCAATAAATTCTTATGCTTTATGCTTGACCGCTCAAATCAACATTTTGATTTTACGATGAAAATCAAGAATTCCATTCACAGATTTTTGCAAGCTCAGCGACAGAAACACTTGTTGAAATGCGTATAAAAGGTTCATTCGTACGAATGTAACAGGAGACGATATAAGCTGTCAGCAATTTTTTGCTGTCGCGTCGTTGCAAGGAACTCTGCCTATTAGATTCGCAGGGTTTAGTCGTTGCCTGTGTAATCCCGTGTGAAGATCAGTAAAGTCAGGAATTATTTCGTACAAGACGGCACAATCGCAACAAACGACTTAGAAATTAAAAGTAAATTTAAAAACGCAACTATCACATATATATTTGAGAATTTTTAACTTAATTAAGATTTATATTTAAATTAATATTATGTTATTTTGTTAAATTTTTTTGAATGATTAGTGCGTCCTTTGGATAAATCGAATAAACTGTACATCGATAAGAATAAAAGCCTACCTTCGCAATTGGTCGACGTTCCAATCGATTCGCCATGTTGCGTTGTATTGACGGATTCGAGGATTCGAAATACAGGTAAGTTTTGTTACTTGACAATTGATAGGTTTGAGAAATGCATATCCAGTTCTTCATTGAAAATATTAAAGAGCATTTCAATAATAAATTAAAAATCATAGAGCAATATACAGCAATATACATCATACATATAAATTAAAAATCATAGAGCAATATAAAAAATCACTGGATAAAAATACATGACTTTTTTATTACAAAGAGGTCTTCTAAATGTGTAACAAATGATTTTTTAAAGTTTTATCCCGAGGGGATAATAGGGGAGCAACTTTAAAATTTCAAATTTTATGAAAAAAGTAGACAGATTACGTAAAACCAAACAAATTAATTTACGTGAAATGTTTTCGTTTTCTTAAATTATAATGTCAAAAGTTATGAGTAATGAAACGCAGAGATCTATAATTGACACTATGCAGTGTCGGTGGATTTATAAATCCGAAGATTAAATCTGTTTTTACAGCGCATTTATTTTGTATTAAAATTGGGTAAGTCTTCCAGAAATGCCTTTCAAATTGTTTGCACTGTTTGCATTTAGAATCATTTTTCTCTTCCACGTCCGAATATGTTATAATCATTTTACTTTAAGTGCAAAAATTTTGGGCAATTTTAAGCAACGCAAACAGATCTACTTATATTGTGATTGTTACTTTATCATAAATATGTACAACATTTCAAGATTAATAATGACAATTTTAGACGTAACTTCTAACAAACACATGACGAAGTCAAGCGCAGGGCGTAGTCGTTCAAATTTTTACGCACGGCACAAACGTATTCTTCTGATTGGAGTGATTTCAATCTTATTGATTGTACTTTTTATGACAATCACTGACCTGATGTTTTCGATAATGTCAGAGTACGACGTTCGTAATAATTCAGGTTAGTAAATACTACATATGCAGAAGCACATACCATTTTTCTCGAAAAATTTACTCTCGCTCGTCCTTGCAATCGCCAATTTCCAGCCGATGTCCTCGAAGAATCGTTTCTTCTACCGTGATTCTTTCAGCTCGCATTCAACCGGAAACACGCGTGAAGCGAGTGATCGGGCTAAACTCTCCTCTCAGCAGAAGATCATTATTGAAATCTCGGGTTGGAAAAGTGTTCGATGGAGACTTATCTTTTAACGATCAGACGAAGCTTACAAACCAGATAACACAAGTTGCAAAAGATGACTCATTTCTAACAACAAATAGAAGAGACGCTGACACGCGTTTCAAGCGGGAGGTATCTCGCAGAAGAAGAGATTGCACTATGAACGCTCAACATTGTGAGCTGTTGTTACAGACAGTGCGAGGCCATCTTGTGAATCTCAGTAAAGAGTTTTCAACGACAAACGACACGAAATCATTGCCCAGGGATATTTTGAAATGTCTCAGGTGCAAAGAAATGCAAATCAACACCACAAATAAGAACGACGAAGATTATTTGAAAGATCAATATTTTCCGCATGATTATGCCAAGCAAAATCGCTCGAGTGATTTTGACATCGCCATCATCAAGTTGCTGGAAGACATGGAGAAAATGGCTCAAAATAGTTCAAAGCTGCCGGAAACGAAATCAGCTATATATGACCCATTACGAAATGCCACGAGTCAGTCATTGAAGAAGACCAACATATCGGGAACTGTGTCAATTAATCACACAGATGCCAATGGAAACCAACGGATATATGTAAATAACACTGACGGTAACGATTCAGACGTCAAATGGTCCGACAGTAATTCGACTGTAAACGACTCGCGTGTGATAAAAAGCCAAAACAACGAGGGCATTCCAGTAGTGTCGAAAAACGGTCAACAGCAAAGTACAACCGCAAGCGAGAGTGTCACGAGCGTGAATCCGTTGTCCATGACGGAATCGAGCGGTACAGGAACGCAGCACGGCATTGTTACAGGAGACGATGAAAAATCCAGGAAAACCACGATTAGAGCTGATTCTACGGAAACTAGAATGTACGGAGTAGAGATCCCCACAACGTGGACCATGCCGCATCCAGTCTGTTTCTTTAGCTATCCTGGCCAATCTTCCAGCATGTCATTATCTCCAGAATCGACATTTTACCCAAATCCCTTTTCGATGCAGAATCACGGATTTTCGTTTCAAAACCCGCTTCACCAAGATTCCTCGCCAAATTATATGCAGATACAAAGTAATACGCCTATGCAATTTATACCAAGATTGAACGACGCGGACAGTCTACCTCAATCGATCGGTCAAGGCATCGGTCCACTGAGACCTGCCATGCCGAACGCACCAATTTTCTCGTTGAATCAGCAATCAACCGCAATGTCCCAGCAGCCAACTCCAAACATGCCGTATTTCTGCGGTTATATGTCACTATCGACCGTTCATTTTCCACCGACATCTAGCATCTCGCAATCCGATCGTTCTGTCGGCGAAACCAAAGACTTCTCAAAAGAATCACGAAAGTTGTCTCATGAAGTAAATGCTGTCACGCAGCAAAAGTCACGTAAGTTTTGTAGATTTCTTGCGAAAATTGAAAAATTTTTTTATCTTATCTGCATCATTCCTCTTTCTTATTTAACATATTTATTTCATCTCATATATCTTAATTATTTTAACTATAATATCGATCCCTTACATCAAACGTGATTTTCATATAGGCACGATCAGTTATTGCCATAAATTAACAAACATCACTTCATCAATCATTAAAAGTATACTAACTTAACTTCATAAAAATATGAATATCATAAAATTCGTCAAAATCGTTACAATTAAAAAAAGTGATTTTTTTTTAAAATAATAATTTGACATTTAATCATGTTAAAATATATTCTCTTGGTTGATATTATATATATATATATTTCATTATTATAATTTTCTGTCAAGTTAAAAAAACATTTTCTGTTTTCTGGGGAACTTAATTTTTGAGTTGTATCACTTTTGAAGTAAGCGATATTATTTTTATCATACTGCGACATGAAGGAGCGATATTCTTTTTATCATATTCTGAAAATGTAAAACTTGAAAATTGAAATTATTCAAGAAAATAAATTAGAGGATCGATTTTAACGGCATGATAATTATTTTAGTATACTCCACACTCAACAAATGTCCTATAAATTATCATCAGTGCGATAATCGTTATTGCATCCCGAGGAAGAAATGGTGCGACGGCCGTGTCGATTGTGCCGATGCCAGCGACGAAACGAGATGCTCTTGCAGAGATCGGATATCACGAAATCGACTATGCGACGGTTATTTCGATTGTCCACATGGAGAGGACGAGCTCGGTTGTTTTGGTAAAAATTGATCTATTTTGTTGCGCGCGCGTAATATATGAATGAAAAATTGTCTACTTGCATAATAATAATCTGCATAATATAAAATAAAGACAAATATAAATAGTAATGTGCTTCGTGAGCTGCGAGCGTTCCATTATTTCAAATATTATACAATTACGAGAAATTTACGTAACGTTTTACTGAATGGCTTATTTAATGTTTCACTTAATGTATGTAATATATTTTAATTGGAATTAAAAATCTGTTTTATCGACATATCGATTAAGTTCGGTCGTCTCTCCAGCATGGCCTTAAACTTAGAAGCTACTTTACCTGCGAAACTTCTTATTCGTATAAGCGGCTTATACAAAATATAATCACGTCGTTTGAAATATGAATTTACAATATATATTTGTCCTTAAAAAGAAATAACTCTAACACATGTGAACGTAGGAAAAGGATTTAAAGTATACGCCTTTATAAATTTGAATATTTTTAGGCTGCCCAATGGAATCTTTCAATTGCGACAACTGGGACAAGCATTATAACAGCGATAATTGCGTATTACTTTCTCAACGTTGCGACGGGATAAAACACTGTCCTAATGGAAAGGATGAGCTCGACTGCAACATACTTCTAGAAAATATAGGTTCAAGCGATGTATGCGTCAAGATAGTTAATATAATCATTTACTAAATGATTTAAAATCTAATTAATTCAGACGTAATCTCCTTACGGATTCTCCAAATTCAAAACCGTAAACTCCACCAATTAAGGGTGAATGAAAGTACGGTTGATGTACTCTTATTCACCTTTAATTACTGGAACTTATGGTTTTAAAATCTAATATAGTAACACGTAGGTCTCTCTCAGCTGGAAAATAATGCATAGTCGCACATATTCGTAATTTGTAAAGAAAAAAATTTCTTTCTGTTGACGCGTTATGTGCGATTGTGCATTACATTTCAGCCGATCCACGTAATACAGTAAAATAAATTACGATAAATATTTTCCAATTTATCTTTCTATACATATTACATCGATTACAGAGCTTTGCGGTTGGTTATACTCAAGGATACTTGCACAGGAACGTACGAGGGCAATGGCATCCTGTTTGTTCAAAGACGTTATCTTGGGCAGCGGATGCTTGCGAATCGGAAATTGGTTGGCCGCTAACGTATGTCATTAATACACGCAATTTTAAGTTTTCATTTAATTTGTAATAATATCAAATCTTATTGAACCGCGTGAGAATTTAAACCAATGAATATCGAGGAGAACATGCCGTAACGGTCAAACTGTAAATAATATTGTAATTAGATTAATCTCTATGAGAGAAGTATATTATTTGCAATTTATTAATAAAGTGATGCATTTTTACAGAACAATGCCAGAGATGCAAACTGTTCGTCTGTCTGAAGTCTTTCAAAATCTTTACGTGACAGAATCTCACAATAATGAGATAAAAATGACGTCGTGCCCGGGCACAGCAGTGTTTGTCAAATGTCCGCCGTTACCTTGTGGCAGCAAAGCCTACTCACGTCAAAACTTCTCCCCTGCCTTCAATGTGGCGAAGAATAATTACAAATCTAGAAAACACATGGAAGAACAATCAGAAATTGCGAAATTTAACCAGCTGTACCAAGAGACACTGGGATTGCTGGAACCGAATCAGTTCATGTCAGAGAAGAGGATGCGAGAGCAGAATGATACCCTCGTCGGATCGCAATCGCGAGTAGTCGGCGGCCAAGCAAGTCAACCTAAAGCTTGGCCTTTCCTAGTGGCTATCTATAAGGACGGTTCTTTCCATTGCGGTGGTGTCATCTTAAGTGAAGTTTATATACTCACCGCAGGCCATTGCATGAATGGGTATGAGCGTATTTAAAAACGACTTAGCCATATGACGAATATATTGCAAATACAGACGATACCAAATGATAGCATCCCTTAAACGTAGATATTTCCCTAATCGATTTAAGATGTGTCTGCTAATAATTTTTAGATACGAAGGACATTATTACGAAATACAATCCGGCACACTCAGGCGGTTATCATATTCACCAATGGCGCAAAGGAGAAAAGTGAAATACATAATGATTCATCCAAATTACATGAAAGAAGAAATGCAAAACGACGTTGCAGTGATCATGTTGGACAAATCTCTTGTTTTCAATCGATGGGTCCGCCAGGTTTGCTTACCACCGTCAAACGCTGCGGGTTCTAAATGGAAAGCAGATCCATCGCCGCAATCCATGTGTACTGCTATTGGATGGGGATCTATGAAAGAAGATGGACCAGATTGTAAGCTCGATTACAATTGTATACATACGGAATAATTACATACAAGCAATACTTTGGCACACATTAAAATATTCTTTTTAAAAGATAAAATTGGACTCCTTATATAATTAATGCTATATTTAAAACCATATGTAGAAATTACACAGAAATAATGAGTAAAATATTTCCGAAAATATCAAGGGTACAAAAAAATGTTTCAGATGGAAGTTATACAGCCTCAAGGGACGCAAATATTGACAAAATTAATTTTTTAAAGAAATTAATTCTTTTTATTTTATTTTTATGGTTGTATGAAGGTTATTATTCTTTATGAATGTAAATGGAATTGTTTCTTTTACATGGTTCCTTTGATTATTTCATATATAAAAGTATTAAGATAAAGCTATCAATTTATTGAAAGATCAATAATATAAATTATAAATGATGTTTCATACTCTATGTATTAGCATATATTGACATAAAATATTAAATATCTCATAAACTATTGATTTTTTATAATCGTATCTTAATATTTTTATGAACAAAATAATAAAATTAATTACTTTGTGTAATGAAAACACATAATTAAAATGATATGACAAAAGAAAATCAAAAAATTAATAAGAAGTATTTAATATAGCGCATTTGATTTACTAACACGATTTGCCGAGTTCGAGTTAATGGTCCGTTCTCTGTTTAGCTGCAAAAAAAATAGCTAAACTGTGCAGTAAAAAATACAGCCAATAAAACTGTTGACTCGCGAGTCAGATTGAGTCGGTAAACAGTAAATCAAACACGAATTTAACACTTTACGAGGTTTCGTTATCGCGTGTACAAAAATGCAAAATGCATAAAAACTAAATAGATATACGAAATTTGTTATTGGAATTTCAACAATTATTTTCTTTATTTAAAATAAACCAAGGCTTTTGATTCCACCATCGACCTATAATAAGACAGAACCCAATAATATAAAACTTACATTTTCTTTGTTTTTATTCTGACATTGTTCTGAGTTACAGTTATTGCAAGTAAAGCGCCATTCTTACTGTGTAGTTATAATAACTCACGTATATAAGCGCGTAGCACATTTGGTTTAAAACGTGCTTTTAAAACCAAATGTTGGAATCAAATATTTCGATTAATTCTAAATAAAGGAAATAATTGTTGAAATTCTAAATATAACGAATTTTGTGTAATTGTATAACTATATAGTTTTTACATGAGCTATTTTAATCGAGAATCTATATAAAGAGATATACGCGTATCTCAGCACTTGCGAGAATTTGTGAATATCGATAGACCTCTGATGGCGAGTCGATGTCATATAATCAGGGTTGCCAGACACTTGATAGGCCCCGTCGCCGATGGGGGACACTTGTGTCGCCCAAAAGTCGCCTAACTGAAACGCGATTGCAAAAAAAAAGAAAAATTGACCAATCACATTCAAATATGAGAAGAATACTCCATTATGATTGTTCAATTTTCTACGACTTAAGACCCTACGACCGCTATGACTTCTATTGTAGACCCCGCATCAGTAATTTTCATCACTCTCACCTCTAAGCAATGTTAATCCTTCCTGATTTAATATTTCACGTCAAAATGTACCGGCATAAAGTATAAAATACTTATCTCGTAATCTATTAATTTTTCGATAGATGTATATTAGCTTTAATAAGCACCTTTATTTAAAAATTAAAAAATTTGGTTTCAGCGGATCATTTACGAGAAGTAGAAGTGCCAATTTTATCAACGTGTAAACATTCATCTGATCGGAATAACGCTACAATCTGCGCGGGATATCCTGCGGGTGGCCGCGATGCCTGTCAGGGCGATAGTGGCGGTCCCTTAATGTGCAGGTAACAATTAATGAAGACAAAGCATTGAATTTGTACAACTACAAAACACAACGCATCCTTGCAGAAATTTAAATTTTCTAGTTTTATAGTTTTGAATCACAGTGGTACGCGGTGGGTCTAATCAGTCATGGTGAGGGATGCGCACGTCCGAATGAACCTGGTGTTTATATGAAAGTGAGTTATTACGTAGATTGGATTCTGCAAACGTTTAAAATTTTAGGTAAGTCTTACTCAATACAAAAATGTTGTGTCTTTTCTATACATATGTGTACGAATTTGTTTTTATTATTTAATAAAATATGTTATTTTTACAGAAAATCGAATGGCATCTCTTTATGGGAATAAACCCTCCGATTCGTGTCCAGGATTTAGCTGTCATTCGAACATAGAAAAATGCTTGCCGATAAAGAATCATTGCGACGGAATTGTAAATTGTTTAGACGCAGAAGATGAAATCGGATGCCAAATTTTGAAATTGAATTATGCAAGACACGAGAATTTCAATAATACATTTGAAAAACCGCAAGATCAGGAAATATCTGGGAATACCACAGAAAAAAATAGTAAATTATATTAATCTCTTTTATAATTGTCAAGCCTCGGATTCTTAATAAAATAATTGGAAATGAATTTTATGTTGGTTATGTAATACTAAAATTTAATCGATTTCGATGTTACAGCAGAAGTGGACACGGAAGCAATTCCAGTTTCAACTTCTTCCTATTTCTTCTATCAGACAGAAATACAGACATACAATAATGAAAAAACAAATATTGTGGATACCTACGCGACAACGCCTAAAACAACGACGTCGAACGTTAGATCAACATTTACCTGCACAAAGTGGGTTACGAAATACCATAATTTTCATTACTAACCCTCCGAAGACATTAGATTCGTAGAATCTATTTAATTTATATTAATTGAAAGACACTAATTAATTTCAAGAAATCAAAATAACATAGTCTGTATAAAAATTAATAAATACTTATTATATTTAATAAAAATAATCCAATTTTTATATATATACGTGTATAACAAAAAGAAGATTGATTTAATTGCTTGCACTTAATTAATTTTAAAGAAAGTAACAAAACTTGTAAAAATAAATGAATGCTCTAACAAAAATAAGTATATTTTAATAAGTAAGTATAATCCAAATTTGAATACATAACAAAAGAAAAATTGAATTATTTGACATTAAAACTAAGATTTAATTAAAATTCAGACTTTTGAATTAGTATTATCTCATTTCCAGTCTAATCCAAACTATAAAAATCAATAAAAGATGCGATAAACACTTAGACTGTGAGGACGGAACTGATGAAGAAGACTGTACATGCAGAGATTATCTGTTGAATTTCCACCCTACGGCAATTTGCGATGGACATCTGGATTGCGATGATGAAACGGACGAAAAATATTGTGGTATTCAATCATTCATAATTTCGCCGTTGATTTTACCTATTAACGAAACGATCATTTCAGGTATGTGCAAGAATAATGAGTTTCGCTGCAGTAGGAGTGGAGATTGCATCCCGATGACGGAAAGGTGTGACGGAAATTTCGATTGCTCTTTAAGGGAGGACGAGCTTGACTGCAGTAAGTTTGTGTCTTACATAATATTTGTCTAAAAAAATGTCAAATGACATCAATAGCAATGTTCTTTTTTCAGTTGCATTGACAAACGGGGAATACATTAATGTGGATAGCGATAATTGGTCCGCTTTAAACACGGAAGGGTTACTTAGTAGATATTATAACGAAACATGGCATGTAGAATGCCCTCAGACAGATATACTAGAGAATAACACAAAAACGTCGATAATAGGAGAGAACTTGTGCAGATATCTCGGATTTACGTACGTTTGACTATAAAATGTTCAAAAATATTTAACTTGATTCTTAAAAAGTCTACACACAATTCATAAAAAAAGCAAATTCGTAACATATTGAATTCCAGAGTGCTAAATCGCTAAAGTAATTCATTGTTGAGTATATTTTTATTGTACAATAATATAATGTAAGGAAAATGTAAGTCATTATAAGTCACCGTTTTCTGTGGATCTGGTATCTTGGAAAGGAATTCTTAATTAATGTAATTTTTTAGGCAATTACGTATCTATTTCTCTTTTCAGATTTTATTAAATCCCTGATATTTCAATTAGAACAAAAATTTATTTATAAAGCTTCTAAAATAACCGATTTATTTACAATTTATGTATAATTTTCTGAACACGTTAATTATTACTATTTTCGTATATACGAATAATTACTATATTAGTATGTATGAATAATAAAAAAAGAATAAGTGTGGAAAATATAAATTGTTTGCAGGGGTTTGCAATCATTGGATAAGGTTGTTGTGAACAAAACGATACTAGAAACAAAGTTCTCACGAAAGTGGGACAACACGACGAGTTACAAATCTTTACCTCAGGACGTCGCAGAGAGTGAGGGAAGCGAGACGTGTACAACATTACGGTTTCGCTGTAAACCGGTTTTAAGCAGCAGCGCCGATTCGCATGTGGTCATCGATCCGAGAAACGGAAATTATACCTACCTGTGGCCGTGGCTGGCAGCCATATTTGTCGACGGTCGTTATCACTGCTCGGCCATACTCTTGGAGTCAGACTGGCTCTTGTCCAGTTCGAGTTGCATGGAAACTATCAGGTGAGTAAATCCTGTTTTCCTTTCGAAATACCTTCTTATCTCAAAAATGCACACAGAAAGAAGAGTTTTGTTCTCAAAAAATATAAAAAATTATATAAATCTAAAAAAAATGTTGTTGAATTATTTATAATAATTATGCAAGACACTCAAAAATTGATGATTGTTAGAATATCTTCTTGCAGCATTGCTCATCATGTTTGAATTCTTTATACGTATAATAATTATTTTGACAGTAATAATAATAAAATTATTTTCATATCAGCGTCTATTTTTAATTATATTTCAGTGAAATTGTTCTTTTCGTGCAATTTTGTCGAACGAAGAATTGTGTCCAATTTAATAATTCTTCATTACAATTATATTTCATCAGATTCTCTCGATAAATATCGATGAAAGGATACTCGTATAAGTATAATGATGAAGAATAAATTGCAGATTATCAGTGAATTATACGACGGCTCTGCTCGGCCAAAGTCGCTCGTTTCTTTACGTGGACGGACCTCATCAACAGATATCGGTCGTTGACGAAATCAGGGATGTGAAAAGAACAAATGTCTCGTTGCTTCACTTGAAAACTGCAGTAAATCATACACGTTACGTGCAACCGCTGTTTTTAGAGAAGAAGTGTGTATATTGATTATATATTCGTTATTACATATTGTTTTCTTTCATATATAACTATTTGTTAAATATTTTCGCAGAATATATCCACCGGCAAAAGATGATTTATGTGTAGCAATCGGTACAGACAACGAACGTGTGACACGATCGGTCTTTCTTCAACCAGTCCTCCAAAATTGCGACAAGTGCTATCGTTGTTTCGTCGAAGCTTCAGGCACCGAATGTCTGGTAAAGCTTCGTAATAAGAATCGAAATAACAATGAACAAAGTATATGTAATAATTAAATTTCGACTTTATCTTTCGCATGTGTTTAGAACAATGGAACTTCTTCGAATTGGAGCGGCACAGTGTTTTGTCGCAGCAAGAAAGGATGGTATCTCGTGGCTGCGTTTCAAGAAAAAGACGGTCCGTGCAGCTTCAGAAGCACGCGGAACTTGATAAGCATTGATTACATCCATGCTTATCTTACGCAAGCTTTGGGTAAGTTATCTTACACAGATATAAAGACACGTTTACACCATTAATTTTTAGTCATCCAATATACTTTACGATTGTGGTATTTTTATATAGAACGATGAAATAATCTAACATAATTGAATTTTTCCGTCTTGGTATTATAGAGGAAGTGTTGGAATCAACGCCTGAAGCCGCATGTGACGGTGTTCGATGCAACCTTGGACAATGCATCTCTTGGAATCAGGTATGCGACGGTGTGATGGATTGCCGAGACGGTGCGGATGAGAAGAATGGGATGTGTTTACAAATGCAACAAATTAGAAGAAGAAACGAGACCAACAATAGTAAATAATTTGGAATAATGTATAATAGAATTAATGTAGACCGTATATTAAATTTTGTAGTTATTGCAATTCTGCATGTGCATTAATTTTATGTACATATAAATTTGTATAATTATTACCTGTGCAGAGTAATATGTACCTAGTTGCTGCTATCATGTTTTTCTCTAACAATAAGTAGAATTGTTAATTAACACAGATCTGCAATTTGATTTTTTGTGCTGTTTTGAAAAGAAGATTAGTTTCCCCCATAATTTTTAAACCGCTGGATCCAACTCCTTTAATGAAACTGATCCATCATATCAAGCTTTTGAGAAAAATAAGATGAGAGAAACGCCTGAAAAACGTGCTTCTGATTATTTTTTGCTGTTTTTTTTTTTAAATTTACAGCTGACTAACCCAATCTGCGACAGATTTCAAAGAGGGTCAAATTAATGATTGGACGTTGTACTTTAAAATAATATTGAATCTTTTATAGTCTTCTTTATTGTTAGAGATATAACGCGTTTGTTTAAGCGTTTCAATCTCATTTTTCACAGAAACTTGGTAGAACATTTTCGGTGTCACCAAATTTATTAACTTAGTTTTTAATTAATTGTTAAATAATTCTTTTTTATGCGTATATTCTTACAATTAGTATGCATTTTTGTGTAGAATGCGCAAAGTCAGAAATACGATGCAGAAATGGTGAATGTATCTCAAAGAGTGCATTTTGCGATGGAAAAGTGGATTGCTCGAACGGAGCGGATGAGCCTGTAATATGTAGCTGCGCAGAATATTTAAAATTAACTACGCCAGAACGATTGTGTGACGGGGTACGACATTGTCTCGATAAAACGGATGAATCGCCAGAAGAATGTCAATGCACCAATGCCAATTTCAAATGCAACAGGTAAGATTGATAATATATAATATTAAATAATTATCTATAAGGAGGATATAAGCTTGCATTGGATATCAATATGAAAATATTGCTTTAATAATAAACATCAATGTTGAACGTTTCGACCTTTACATTAGGTCATCCTTTCAGTAAGTTTACATATTAAATAAATTAAAACTAATATATATGAAATCCAGTAATTAAGGTCGAATGAGATGCAGCGTTGTGAGACGCAGCATCTTGAATGCAGCGTTGTTATTGGTATGCACATTAATAAGAAGTGGATTTGTTCAAATTACTCCTTTTTTTTATTCCAAATTGAAATAATAAACCTTAGAACGCTTCAACTTTCTTTGGAGTTATCTTTAGCTAATACAAATTTAATATACCTCCTTTGACCCGTCTGAAGCTGGCCCCCCAATACTAAAAAATCCATTTTTTTTTCTTTATGTATTCATTCGCTCATCGTTTGCTCACGAATGCTCAGCGGGAATTTTCGTTTGCTCACCCTTAGTTAAAAAACCGATACAATAAATGTATACAATTGTTTCATTTACTTTTGCAAACACTATGTGTCGCTCTTGATTCTCTTAATTAAATATGCAGATGATGATGAAAGAACTTTCTTACATAGATATGATTACATTTAGTCGTCTATACTCTTATCAAAACTAATAATATCAATTTATGCCGTACAAAATATCTCTCGTATCTCTGATACTTTAAAAAGTATTGCTGATTAAATGACAAATCATGTAAAAATTATATATTATGATCAGTAATTATATGCATACAAAAATGTACATTATATGTGCAGAGAGAGCGGAAATTTTACTTGCATCTCGCAAGATTTCGTGTGCGATGGCGACAATGATTGTCCGAATGGTGAAGACGAAACGGATTGCACAAGGATACAACAACTCACAGATGATAGGTGAGAATAACTAGAATAAACTACACCGTATCATTGTTGTACGGATGATATACAATATTATTAAATGTTGACGAAATGGAGCAACGAACACACGTTCACGTAACACATGCTTAATTGCTTCTCAGATCTGCTGCAGGCAAAGTAATGCAACGTTCCTACGGCGTATGGCACACTCTATGTTATCCGTCAGAAGTGACGTCACAGGAGGAGGCAGTAAACGTGTGTAAAAACAGCGGTTACATGAATGGAATTATCGATTACAAGTATCAATCGCTTAATCAGGCTGTTGTTCCATCTCGCGATGATTTTTATATGATACGATTAAATTCGGACACGTGGATAACCATGCGTGATGATAAACCGCTTATAACTTTGGTCCGGCCAGAGAAACCCTGCTATCGTCTCTTTATCAAGTGCAGCAATTAGTATAAATATATAATTACTTAAAAATTAAATCAATCATGTTAAAATAATTTCACTCTACTTCTTGTTCACGACGTGACAATCGAGTGTGTGAAAGATATTTTTTATCTTAACAGTTAATATAAGAAACATGGATCATTTTAAGAAGTGTATCATTAAATTTTATGTATTATAAATTAATTTATTCACTTACAATTAGTATAAAAATTACGATGTACCACTAAAGTAAATTATTTACATTAAAAATAATTTTATTTGCATTCTGATAAATAAGTTTATTATTACTATTTTTGTTTGTATCTTCTAGAAAGATATTTTCTATAATTTATATTTTTGTTTTTATTGTCTAGTGTTTCATTAAGTTTTATACGCTAGAAATTAGTTTTAGTTAATATCAGAACCACAAATATATACAAAACGAATTAATTACATTAGAAAAGATTCTTTTTCAATTGAAAAAATAATACTATATTATTCTTTGTATGTATTTGACAAAATAATAAATAAAAATCTGCATAAATTAATTCAATATTTTAATCCCGCAATATGTGACCGCTTCGAGCACACGTGCATGTGCGTCACGTAAGAAACAACGCGAGTTAGTCACTACGGGAATGTGAATGGATACCGTTTTCCGTCATTCCGTGGTATTTGAAAGCAACTTGCCAGGAGAGCGCAATCGTTTGCCTCTAATAGCAGCGGCCTCATTCGCTAAATTCCATTTCTCCTTTTCTTCTTCGTCCAATGCTCGACTTTATCGCATCTTCGTCTATCCGTCTTCCATCATTCCTACATATTTGCATGCTGCACTAGCTTTGCTTGAAAACAATCTAAAATCTAATTAACAACGTTTTATCGTTTAGCTATTCTTAAATTAAAAACTTGACAAATGACTGGCATATTAAACATAATACGTAAGAAAATATTTTTTACTTGCAAAAGAGAGAAAAAGATTATATCCTATTAGAATAAATAAAAAATATATTATATGAAGCAAGAAGCTAGCATATAAGATTTTTATATAAACAATCCATATATAAGCTTTTCAATAAATGTTGTATGATAAATTTATAAAATATAAAACTATAATTTTTGTTATTCTTAATACGAATTTATTATCTACATTTTTTGCTACTTGCATTTTTTCCAATTAGTATACTTTACGTGCCATTCCTTTACTTTAAAAGCCCGATCGCAGATATGTTCCTCGGCATCGGTGAATTCCGTAACAACAGCCACGCGGAAACTCCTTTCCTGGTTTTTTCGAGCGAAAACGATGGGGATATGAAAATAATAGATATTTTACTTCCGTATGCATCTATAACTACGTTTTTCCATTCATATGTATCACTTATAACTAGTGCCAATACATCTTATGTTATAAACATGCCATAAATTATTATATGTTTGTTTATGCTTTCGCTGGCAGCTCAAAATTACATATATTTTTTTTCGGCTATATTAATACTATATTTCCGGATAATCACAAGATTTACTATCCAATATCTCAAAAAATGTTAGAAAAATTATGTAATGTAATCAATAAATAAATAACTAAGTTTGTAGCGCTCTTATGAATATTATTTAATGCTGGCAAATATCTTTCAGTTATTCACATCGTTTATTAACTCACTCAGCCAAGCACGCGAGGTACGTATACTTTTTACAGGTCGGATGTTGCACCTTACCGATTGCTTCATACACGCCAGCAGCTCACGGTAAAAATGTCGGTACGAACATGAATATATGTATAACTGCTCATTGAGCAAAAGCAAATATTAAGATATAGCAGCGCCATTTATTATATTATGTAATTAAAAATTAAAAAATCTTAGATATATACAGAAAAATTAGGTTACAAATATATATATCAATTAAGTTGAGTCATTAAGGAACATTAAACAAATCAATTAAAGTAGACTGTCAAAAATTTCAAATAACAAGAATATAAAGGCTAATGAGAGCAATTCGCTGTCATTAATGCGATCATGTATAAGGTACGTTAAAGTATGAAATTTATATACCACGTATGTAGTCCACTAAAACGCGTGCCGAAAATCCTTCAGACTTACAATACA